CAGCTCTTGCAAATAGAGTCAGATCATTAGCAAAGAATAAGTGGGAGATCTTGGGACCAAAGAGTCTCTCCATGCACATAATAAACAGGCAAGGGGAAAGGGGTCACCCTGCCTGATACCTCTAATAGGTCTGAAGGGGTGTTTGATCCCCATTTACTAGAATAGAGATGAAGGAGGAGCTTACACAGGACATGATGAGTTAATGGTGCCAGTGGGGAAGTTGAAGGCGTGGAGAGTGTCCTTAATAAAGGACCATTCAATTTTGTCAAAGGCCTTCTCCAAGTCAATCTTTAGGATCATGCGAGGTATTTTGTCTCTCATTTTCCTAAAGTGGGTGATGTATTCCTAGACAATGAAAACATTATCAGAGGCTCTCTTGTTGGAGAGGAAGCTTGCCTGACTGGGACCAATAATGTGGGCCAAGTATGGTTTGATTATGTTGACTAGGATTTTAGTCATAGTTTTGTAGACAATGTTGCATAGACCTATGGGCCTGAAGTTTTTTAGCATGGAGGCCTGAGGGCATTTTGGAATTAAGTACATGATGGTCTCATTCATACTGGGGTGCATTGTTTCAAATGAGAAGCATTCTTTGCAGAATTGGATGAGATCCTTTCCCACAATGTCCCAGTACTTCTGGTAAAAGAATGGATGTAATCCATCCGGTCCCGGGACTTTGAAGAGCTTGAATGAGAATATAGCTCTTTTGATTTCACTATCTCTGAGGGGGAGAGCCATATTGGCTTTTTGCACAGTGGATAATGATGGATTCTGAGGACCAGGAGTGGTAGTGTGGATGGGGGGATTGAGTGCGTGAAAAAGTGTAGAGATCCTTGAAAAAACTGGCAATGGAGTCTTTGATTTCATGAGGATCATGCTGCCAGTTCCCAGCCTCATCTTTGATGGAGAGGATTCTATTTCTCCTTTTTCTATTTAGAGTAAAGGTGTGGAAAAATCTAGTGTTGGCATCCCCATTAGAGAGTCGGCTTATCCTAGCTTTCAATTTTCAGAAATCCTCTTCATTTTTAAGGATTGAGTCTAATTCCTCGATTAGAGTATTTTCCAAGTTTAGGAGGAAATGACTAAATTGGTAGTTAGGAGATTTCTGGATGCCAGCAATCCTGGCCAACAATCTCTTCTTTTTGTGGAATATGTTATTAAAGTTATGCTTATTCCAATTGATGACATTATTCTTGAATCTTAGAGACGAAGGGATTAAGGTGGAATGAGTTGGGAAGGAATCCCGGATTAAGGTATGGAAGGTTGGGTGACTGCACCACATGGACTCGAACCAAAAGGGCTTGACATTAACAACTTGGGTGTTATTATTGAGTTTAACAAGGAGGGGGCAGTAATCAGAGTGGGTCCTAGCTAAATGGGTTACAAAAGCTTCAGGGAATTCATTTATCCAGCAATTATTAACAAAGCACCCATCAATTCTCTCTAGGATTAGGCTGGTCTTGTTTTTGTATCTCTTGTTAGACCAAGTGTATTTACTTCCTTTATAGCCTAGGTCCACTATTCTACACTGATTAATACAATTCCAGAACAGATTACTTATGTTTGTGTTAATGTAGTTACCCCCAAATTTGTCTTTTGCTTTCAATACTTCATTAAAGTCTCCACCCACAAACCAACTATCATTTATGCTATTAGAGATGTTTATCAGATTTTTCCAAATGGTTTTCCTATCCTCTAGATAGTTGCTTGCATAAATAGCCGAAAACAACCAAGAGAGGTTGGAGGGTAATACCTTGACCATTGCATGGATACCTTGTGATGTAATTAATACTTCATCTACCTGAAGGATGTTCTCTTTCCACATAATGATGATGCCCCCAGAGTGTCTCATTGCTGGGAACTGGATATGTATGTCATATTGCAGGTCTTCTGTAAGCTTCTTGTGATCCGCCATCTTGGTCTCCAACAACACTAGCATGGCCGGTTTATGCATTTTGATCATCTCCGAGCAGTGTCTCCTGAACTTCGCACTGTTTGCCCCCTAACATTCCATATTATGAAGTTCATTAGGGGGTTTGGGTTTGCCTGCGTAGTTCCTGCCGGTGCCTCGTCCCTCCTTTGGGTAGGCATCATTTCCTTCCTCCTCGCTAATGGCGTCTGAGATCTCATGACTGGAGTCAGAGTGAACAGTGGTTTCATCACCCCTGGCTCTGATGAGAGGACATGTTCAATCCACATCTGGCAAGAGTTTTGGGACAGAGAAGAATCAGCGTCTCGCTGTAATCCACGATGAATTCTACTGCCTTTACTGCCTCTAGCCATAGGGAGTCCGTTCTCATTGGGCAATAAGAGTTCTGGAGTTCCTTCTCCATAGTGGCGATGCTGGTCTGGGAAGAATGGAATGGTGTTGAAGATCTGTTGCATGAGATTGTGTACTAACGACGTGTCGTTGGTTGGCAATAGAGGGTTGAAACTGCTTTGCAGCACCATTGATTGCCACAACTGAACTCCAAATATCGCCAAACCCATGTTTAGGGCTTCTGTTGTAACCTTTGCCAGATGGGCCGGGTTTTGGATTATGAGAGTTATCGGCTGGTTTCCTAGCTTAAAATTGTAGCAGAGTCCCTGACCGTGGAGAGAAATCTCCAGCCAAGACGCCTGTGTGGTCTTGTGGCGGAGGGATGGAAGTCGGAATGATTGGGGGTTTGGTGGGTTGATCCATTTTTGGGTTTTTTTGGTTTTCCTTTTTTTGGGCTGGTGTTAATTAGGGGATTTTTGGGGGTAATCAAGGGTCATAACTGATAACGAGGTTAAATCGACACTCGTGCTGTGTATTTTGTAACCTGTGTTTAACACACTGGATTTAGAATTAAATGAGGATCCGGTTGAGTTGACGGAAAGTGTCAAATCACCTGAGCTTTGGTGGTTTATCAGGAGTGGCACTTGAGTATCCATTGAGGGGGGTTTTTGCAGAGTTGTTTGGTAGAGCTGATGTAGCGCTGTAGGGGCCATCATTGGTAGTGATGATCGTGGAGTGAGTGTGGCCCTCTTTGGTAGATGTGAGTTTGGGGTTTTGGTGGGCCGCTTTCTGACGCGTTGACAAACCCCCCGCCTGGACCCATTGGGCCGGTTGTTTTGTTACCTTTGGTGGCCGTTTGGATGCCCTCTTTTTGAGGTGTACGCCCCTTGTCTTTGCTAGGAGTTGGGTCTTCCCCCTCCGGCCCCGCTTTCCTTTTCGTGCTCGTGTTGGGCCGCTCACTTGTGGGCTGATTCCTAGTGGGCTGGCTCATGGGGAGGGAAGTATTTTCCCTTATCCTATGATTTGAGTTGGTGTCCTGCACAAAGTTAGGCTTTGAATTATAGCGGAAGGTTTTTGTTTCAAGGAACTTATCGGAGTTCGCATCAAACATTCGGACTTGGATGCCTTCCGTTGAATTGGTGCCTTTTCCCTTCTTTCCCTGGGTTGTTGGTTGGCGTTGTAGTGGGGGGTGCCCTTGTTTCCTTCTTCTGGGGAAGACTACAATTTTCCACTCCTCTTCCTCATCGTCTTTGGCTTTAGAGGAGGAGCATTTATGCTGGTCCTGTGGTGGGGAGGGGGGGCTTTTGCCTGTGGGTACACTTTTAGGGTGTGTCCTATCCTCCCGCATCCTGTACAGAGGATGTTTTCCCCTTCATATACAACCACTTGCTTATGGTCTCCAATGGTGACGGATGTCGCAACTGGTGTTTCCAGTGGGATTTGTATACAAATTCGCGCATATCTGCCCCTTAGCATAGCTGATGTGCACGTATCAACTTTGAGAAGTTTCCCAAGCTTCTTTCCAACTTTTTCCGGTATCTCTTTGTCGTAGAATTCAGTTGGTAGTTGTGGTAGTCGCACCCATATATTGTAAAGGATAGGGTGGCTTCTTGTGCGACAAATTTTGGTTCCCACCTTCTAACTGAGAGGAAGTTTTCGGATATGAACCACGGGCCTTGGTGTATTGCCTTGATCAAGTTTTCTTCTTTTTCAAATTTGACTATAAAGATATCACATCTTAGGTCAATCAAGATTAACTGTTTGGAGGGGTTCCATAGTTCAATTAGTTTGGATCGAAGAAGATGATGTGGCATTCGTCTACCAAAAATTTTGATAATGACTGAGAAGCGCCATGGCTCATATAACCGGTTTTTATCATCTTGAGAGAGGATGATTGGGCCTAGGTTTTCCTTGCCCTTTACCTCGCATCCTGATTTATCAAATTCTATTCTGTAGTATTCCGTTTGGGAAGTATCCTTCTTGTCTAGAAGCATTTCCTTGTAAGGATGCGTTGGGTTAGTATCCTCCTCCATGGGGTTAATATCCGGTGGTTCCGGTGGTATGTTAGGTGTCTTGGGTGTATTCTCCATTTTGTGTGTAGTGAGAAGTGAGAGTTTCTCGCTCTGAAATCCGTCCTTTTCAAGCTATTAATTAAGAACTAGTTGAATGAACTAAATTGTGCTCTTAAGTTCCATTGCTTGTTAATAATGGAAAACATAACATTAGACATAGTTGTGTCATGTCTTCCATTTTAAGTAAAGTTCTTACCATCTACATGAATTATTCATCTCATTTTTAACTTTTTTCTTTCCCTTTGAGTTTTCTTCTATTTAAAGTATGTTTTTATACTAAAAACAGTGAAGAAGCCAATAAACAACTACATTATCTCATTAATTATGCTATGCACATATCTTGTTCCTAAAAGAAATGTAAGAACTTCACAAATTAGTTATCAAAATTATTTAGTAAAACTATCCCCAACTTGGTAATGTTATCCCCAAATTACTAGGTGAAACTAAATATTTTAATTGTTGAATTTTGTTTCAAATTATATTTTTAGGGCCTCCACTACTTATTCCCATAATTTTCTCAAAGGACACTTCTAAATTACCAACATATAAGTTTAATTTAGGTACTAACAATAGTCATAGATTTACTTTAGCTAAGAATAATCAATTTTTACAAATCAAACTATGAGGAATTAAAAAAATCGGTGTATTTCAAAAAAAAAAAAAAAANACCTCATTTTAATAAATGTTTGCGGTAGAATCGGTCGCAACTTTTTTATTTATTTTTTATTTTTCCGGCCGAATCGGTCGCTAATGGCTTTGCGGTATTTCTGCCAAATTTTGTGACGGATATGGATGGAATATCTGCCATAATTATTACTAAAAATTGAAAAATATAGTTTTAGACCATTTCCAATCGATTCCGTCGGAAATTTTCGGCTACTTTTTCCGGTCGGAAATTAATACTTTTTAGTGGTGTGAAGGCAGGAAGCTCATTAAGTGAGCTAGTTTGCAACCCCTAAAAATTTCAACTGTTCAACTTGCCTTCTGGGAGAAAATCAAAATATGATTACCCTTTCAACAAGTCCTCGTCATCGTTAATTTCCATTAAGTTTCACATCGAATTAAGTCAATCCTATTGTAGAATCGTTCCATTCCCCCTGATAGCCGCAAACTCTTTTCCTGGAGTTGATCAACGTTGACTTATTTATTAACGCTTTGCACGTCTTTTCCTTCTACTATTACCTTATACTTTTCTTTTAATTTGAACAAATTGACAAAGTATTAAAATAACTCTATACATACAGTTAGTAGGTTCCAAGTACAAGTACGAGACCAAGATTTGGTCCGTTTCTCTAGGTTTGTTTCCGCTCTATATAAAGACATAACAGTATTCTTAGTTACATAGTAGAATATAAGCAAAAGAGGAGAAAGGAGAATTCCAATTCAGGGAATAAAATTCTCCTTTCCCCAGTGGATAAAAAAAGAACAAACCATAGAATTTCTTCATCATTCTTTCTACGTAGAAGCTTCATTTTAGACTTCCAAGCAAAGGACAATGTAAGTTCCCTTCAACTCCTATGTACGTAGGAATTAAACCAAGAGAAGGATACCTATATATTTTGTTTAGGATTTGATATTTGTTAGTTTATTTAACTCAGTTTTGTTTGTCAAAATCAAATTTGGAATACGTTTCCAATTTCTAGTCAAATTTGATTTTGTTAGTATTATAATTAGGGGTTTCATCCCTCTTCATAAACAACACTAACCTTAAGCACTTCTATATATGTCACTTTACGAAACAAGAAATTGAAGCAATAGAGTGCTGATTGAGGTGTTATTGTTGTTTTTCTCTTTTTCCCGTCTACAGTTCCTCAAAATCTTTCCGTGTTAGAATGTCTATGTTAAACGAAAAACACATCCAAAGGATTTTCGACAAGCTTGATGAAGATGGTGATGGATTAGTAAGTTTAGGTGAACTCAAAGGCCTTCTTGATAAGATTGGAGCTTGTACAGATCTTGACGAGCTCCATTCTTTGGTAGGAAAAACGAGCCTAAACTTCATTGACTTCTCCCTCTTTTACGAGGCGATGGTGAAGAAAAATAATGGGGATGAAAAGAGAAAAGAGGACAATAATTTGGAAGATGATCTTGTTGAAGCATTCAAGGTGTTTGATTTGAATGGAGATGGTTTTATTTCTTGTGAGGAGCTTCAAAAAGTTTTGTCAAGATTAGGGTTGTGGGATGAGAAAGAAGGAAGTGATTGTAAAAGCATGATTCATATGTATGATACTAACCTTGATGGAGTTCTTGATTATGACGAGTTCAAGAACATGATGTTGGTTTCTAATTCTGAGGGTATTCCTAATTTGTAAATTATTGACTTTTTATTCATCTTTTTTAAACTTTCTACATTAATTGTTGCGATGACTACTTGTATGGTTTAACTTCCTTCTTGTATTATGCGGGTTAACATATAACATGTTCCATACTAAGTTTGTTAGACAAATACAAAATCTCTTTCAACAAGTTGAATATTAAATATATACTTTAATACATTTTTGTTCTACATAAAACATTTCAGCTCTTGGAGCTTACTTTTACTTTGGTCTAGACAAATGGTGTGGTGAAACTCTAGTTGATGAGGTTGTCCAATGCGAATTAAGAATAATGATCTTTCATTAAGAGATATTCATGAACAACTCTATCCTTTTATCCAAGCAAATATAGCGCAAACATCGGCAATCAATAACGTAGTTTTTTATGGAAAATTTTGAAAATCCAAAAAAGAAAAAATGGTCTTTTTGTCTTGTATTTATATAATGTCTTGTGGGAGAAAATCTGTGAATAGTGAAGGAAAGGGTCAGTATAGGTGATCAACTTAATTTGATGGTGTAAAAAACTGTACCATCAACTCAATTTATCTGGTTATAATAGGCTATTACTTTATTTCAATTTCTAAATTATTATATTAGGTTTGTTACGGCGAGTTATATGTTATAATAGATCAACTTAATTTGACTGGGTAGTGCACAAAATTTAAACTCGCTAATTAATGTGCGGGACGAGAATTCCCCATTCATTCCTTATTGTACTACCCCGTTGCTTTGTTTGTTTGGTTAAGCCAAGAAAACCTACTCGTAAATTGACTCAACATCTTTATATATGCGTGTGTTAAAAGCGTCAATGACACAAATATGATTATTGAGTGTCACCAATTAAATTTTGGTTCCGTTAAGAAAGATTGTGGGAAAATAGGCCCGAGTTAGAATTCTGAAGTAAGCTCCTAGCAATCGCATGCCAGGTTTTTATATTTGATTTTGGCTGGATTTTTCTTCGGAGCAAGTTATGGTGATTGTTACTGACGATCACCATAATATAACTATTGTGCAAAAATTTCATCATGATGTTTTGCTTCAAAATTAGTCTAAATCAACATCAAATAACTCAAAATTTTGATATGCAACCTTCTAATTAATACCAATTTTAATAATTTTCGCTAGCTAGATTCAACTTAAACCTTCGAAAATCAATCACTTTGTCTTCTTCAACAAGTTTTTTTTCAAGCTCAAACAAAACGGGACAATAGTGTTTTCTTTTCTCCAATCAAATCAATCCATATCATTGAAGATAGACAATCTCAATTTTAACTACAAATACGATATGAATCTTCAATTTTCTATACTACATATTTTATTATTTTTTAATTTTAGTTGTATGCTCATAATTTATTGAAAGAAGAATAAAAAGAGAAGGGACAAAAGGAGAAAGGAGAAGAAGACGATGCAGAAGGAGGAGGAAGGAGGAGGGTGAAAAAAGATCTGACGGAAGTCTAAAAAAACTAATGCAACTTTAATTGGGTCAAAATATAAAGTGGTCGTAAAAATGTCCATTCAACGTAATTTCAAGGTGTTAAAAAGGCATTACTAGAGAATTCAAAATGGAAAAGCCACGCCTTAGATTAAACTTCTAATTAATTAAGGATTAGTACCCTACTTACGGCAGGAAATAGCATAACATTTTGAATTATATATATGATTTTAGCGATTATTGACGACCAGCGGGGAGCAAAAGATTTATTTGTCATTAATAATAATTATTGTTAATTGAATTATATATCTTATCATGCACATGATATTATAATTCATGAGAGACTTTAAATTTTTAGGTCCTAAAGCAAAGATTTTAATTGTTCTGGGGTCGAGTTGGCCCTGTTGGTTTTGATCCCATTAATTACTCCTCATTAACGGAGCTATGGATATGTATCATGTGTTTACAATAATACGATCGGATCTTGTATTATAACCAAAAAAAAAACACATATTAGTACATTTCATTAATTAAAATAATAAATAGTAAAATAACATGTTAATACTCTACACTAGTTACAATAGTAAATAGTAAGCAAATATGCAAATACATAGATAGATATTCCATAAGAAGGAAAACAGAAAGAAGAAATAAACAGTGACACTATCTGCATCCTATAGGTGGTGTACAACAGGATAAGAAGCAAAGTCAAAATAAATGGAGGAAAAAAGTTGAGAATATAATACAAGGTCCAGGCCTTTAAAAGTTATGGACACAAATGGTATACGTCTATAATTCCATTGAGAAGTAATAGCATCGGAGGTGAGCATATCAAAAGAAAAACATAGGCAAAAAAGTTAAAAAGGTTATTCATAGAATCTCTCACATAGAGTTCGTGAGATCACTAAATTTACTAGCTTATCATATATAAACTTGTTAAGCATTTATTTAATCATGTAAATTTTAAAAATAATATATACATTCAGGTTGTTACTTGTCAAGAATCTTCATCTTTGGGCATTGCTAAAATTATGGGTTTGTGTTTGCTCTCGGCCGGTTGTTCCAATAACATTTTGATGGTCTAGTTGAATATGACACTCAGAAAATTGTATTTTCTTGCAACTTTTCGAGTGAAAATTTCACAAAGTTTGGGGGTGCTGTTAGATGATTGTCGTTTCTAGTTATAATAAAGAGAAATTGTAGTGTTTTTCTCTTTTGAAGTTAAGCAGATCTAGTTGCTTATTGCTTGGCAAGAGAGTCTTGAAATTATGCTTCTATTGGGAGCATGCTCCTAGTTTTATTGTAAACTTGTTAGTGACTGATTCAATTTAAGAAAGTTATTTTGTTTGAGTTCAAGAAAACTTCAGCCCTACCCCAAATATTATTTGAAAATAATTGTATTTTTGTTAAGTTGTGGTTTATATTATTTTCATGCAGTTTCTAGATATTTAAACTTTAATTATTTCAAAAATTAGACTATAATTAAGATACAGAAACCAAGCAAAAATTAAGAAATTTGATTGCTAGATATCTAGAAGGATTTTCCATAATTTTTGGGAATGACTTGTGTTACATGAGCCAGTCTAGCTAATCTACGGACACACGGTATGCACGCGAAATCTTACCAATGAATTTGTTAAAATAAATGATTGGACCCAAAAAAGAAAGCATGAAGTTGATTGTTATGATATAGAGGACCTGACTTTAGTAAATAATAAGAAGGAAGTTTCCAATTTGGATCTACATATATTTTCAAGTCTTTGGTCTGACTGCCCCTAAATTCTCAGAAATCCAAAATCAATGAATATTAATCTGATACTCCATACACTTCTTAGATTGATTAGTCTTTGGTGAGTTACTTAAACATGTATAAGGAATTTTCTAGGGAAAATTACATGTTCAAGGAATACTCCTCTAGATATGTGTTTTATAATATTCTGTTTTGTGTGAAACAAGTGCAATTTAAAGTGGACCATTGTTCTTAATTAGTATGAACATATGTTCATGTTTGTTAAAGGTAATTAGTCTAAACTGAATAGTGTCTAACAAATTTATTTGTTATTTCCACTATCATGAATATCGAGTAATATAATTCTGTTTGAACCTAACTCATGATTCTCCTTTTATTTCATTAACCAATAAGTCACACACTTGTCGCGCCGAATCTTTGGGGCCAAGGTCCCTCAGTTCACCCAAAGGACAAGAAACGAAAGATAGTAAATAAAGAAGAAGGCCAAGGTTGAGAATGAAAGTAAGATTTCTTTTGTGTCCGATACCTATTCTTATGGAAATGCCACATCCAAAGCTACCTTCTTGAATGATGTTGATAGAGTCGTTGCTGATCTCCTTTCCTTTATTTATTAAATTAACGAATTTAAGTATTTTTATTTTTATTTTATGTAATATTCTTTTTTGTAGTATTTCAGAGAAATTGACATCTTTTGCATTGGGAACCTATTTAATCTTAATATCTCATCTTTATCTTATTGACATGACTTGTTGCAAATCCTTAATAGGGAGCGCTTTCCTCCGAATGAGACCCTATGTGGCGCGAATTCGGATATAATTGGGCTCCAATGCGAATACTGGATACCGGGTGGGAAACAAAACATGACTTGTTGCGATAACAATTATATATAAGCTGTCTTTTTATTAGGTGAGAGACATAAAGGGACATGTGAAAGTATTATCATCTCTCATTGTTGTAGACTTGTAGTTAGGAGAACTTCAGCACTTTGCATAATTTTCTTGGCTATCTTTGGCTCGGCAGAAAATATTATTTCGGAAATGTTGTCTAAACAATATTTATTATTATCAATAATATTGAATAAATATTTTTATCTCAGAAAATATCTTTCACTCACCAACTAAACACCGCAAAAAAAAATTATAAATTTTTTTGTCATACCAAACACGCTTCATTTGATTATTAAATTGTGTATAGAGTCAAATACCTAAATATAAAAAGGGATAGAGAATGAATGTTTATAGCAAGCACACCTTAACAAATAATGTCCATACAATTTTCTATAATGATGTCAATTGCACTTAAATCTTAATATGTTAACTTATTAATGAACTTTACTTTGACGTGAATCTAGATTGCTCAGGGTGCATCCGAATAGTTAATGAAACCAAAAGGAAAAAAAAAACTGTTATTTTCCTCTTCAAGTCTACGAAGTATGATTGAAGTTGATAAAGACAAAGGAAATTTCTAGATAGTAAATTTATTTATATTTATGTAAGTCAAGGATGAATATATCTTTTATTAGCTAAGGAAAAAACACAGAAGCCACTGTTTTGTTCTGGATTAAATCTAAAAGGTTTGCTTATTCTCTTGTATAACCCCTTCTTCCAAGAAACTCCCTAAACTATACTCCTTAGATTTCAACCACAAGTATTGTTTTGTGATTATTTTTTAGGTATATAGTCCGTACAAGGAAAGGACAATTCTTCTGAACTCTCCCAAATATTCATTCCTAGTTCCATCCTTATAAATAAACACTTGACATATGCATGTAACTTCAAGAAGACTTGATAATAATACCACTTCTTTCATCAAGTATCTGGTGTCTGAAATTCACTGGCTCGATTAATCCTTATATATTCGCTTTCTT